AAGGTACAAGGATTTTTAATAAATATCAATTTTTTGGTCTCTTTTCTGGTAATTTGGAGAATATTAAAAACTTTTCGGAAAAATATTGGTTTAATTGAATTTAGAAAAGAGGTATTGCATCATTTAGAAAGATTTTATGATAATTCCAAATTTGTTATTTCAAATTTTTGCTTTCTGTAGGTCATTGCAACAAGATCAGAGTGGTCTGAAAATGAATTTTTGGGTTTTTACAATTTTCCGCGGGACAATTAAGCAGAATGACTGCACTGGATTTTTTTTTGGTTAGTTTCACTTTGAATTATGTAAAACAAGCGAAACATTTTTGATATTTTTCAAATTACCAGAAAACAGGCCAAAAAAATGATATTTATTAAAAATCCTTGTACTTTTTTTAAAAATTCACACATAGACGTAAAATCGAATCCTGAACCACTTTTCCCTCTACAATTTTTCGATTTCTGGTCATCTAACCCCACTTTTGACATCTTTAAGGCGAACTTTTTAAATTTCCCGCCATAACTGTGGTCACATGACATCTCTCACAATGCTTTTTTTGTTGATGGATATGCTGAATCCATCCCACGTAACATTCTCTTCGATATCTTAATAATAAAATATTTTCCCATTTGTTGCAAACTTTTTGGCGGTAACTGTATACCGGGTGGTCCTCCGGGAATGACATCGATTGCTTATGGGAAAACTGTGAAAGGTAAAAATTTGAAAATTTGGCAACATAGCAATGTCGATGGGGGACATCTAGGTAAAATATTTTCAAGATGGCGGCATTTCCGGTCATACCGGAAGTTGATACCAACTCGGTTATTTTAAATAGAACACCCCATATATTAATGTATTTTTGGATTCTACATAAAATTCTGAGCAGATTTCATGTAATATACCCTATACCTAAGTTCAACTGTTTTGGAAATATTGACAGTTGAAAATTGACTTTTTGCAACTTTGACAAGCTGTAAAACCTAATTGGTTAATTTTAGAGGAAAACCGATTTCACATTCCTATCTTAGATTTTGATAAACTATCATTTGACACCAACTTTGAACTTAAACGGAGATTAAATTTAACTGAAATTTTTAATCATGGATTTAATTCAAAGTTGATGTCAAATGATAGTTTATAAAAATCTAAGATAGGAATGTGAAATCGGTTTTCCTCTAAAATCAACCAATTAGGTTTTACAGCTTGTCAAAGTTGCAAAAAGTCAATTTTCAACTGTCAATATTTCCAAAACAGTTGAACTTAGGTATAGGGTATATTACATGAAATCTGCTCAGAATTTTATGTAGAATCCAAAAATACATTAATATATGGGGTGTTCTATTTAAAATAACCGAGTTGGTATCAACTTCCGGTATGACCGGAAATGCCGCCATCTTGAAAATATTTTACCTAGATGTCCCCCATCGACATTGCTATGTTGCCAAATTTTCAAATTTTTACCTTTCACAGTTTTCCCATAAGCAATCGATGTCATTCCCGAAGGACCACCCTGTATATGAGAGTACTCTCAGAGCAGTTAGAGCTGCGAGCTCTCAGGACCGCATATTTTTCTCTGGTAGAGTCACACATTACTAATGGAATTGCATTTTGGGGCTGTTGCATTGCTACTTATTTCAACTCCATATTTATTTTACAAAAAAGAGCCCTTAGGTTTATGCCGAGTAGGTAAAATATGTTTTTTTTTTTAAAGATAATTCCCCAATTCAAAAATTTAGTAACTATGTTGGCAACACAAGCCTTTTCTACATAAAAATTTTGAAAGCATTGACAATTTTACATTGTTTTGCCAACATAATGTCATTTTGACTTTTATCTTTAAAAAAAAAACGCACTTTATGTATCGGTTTATGCTTAGGCTTCCCTTCCGACAATTTTGCAAACCTAGCTTCATTTCTCATAGAATTGTAACTGTGCCATGCTTACACATACTCGAAAGTGTTTGCATGCTCTATAGGAAATACTACGATGAACTTTTTTTGGTAAGGCACTGTTTCACTAGGCAAGCTAATAATATTCCACTGCCGATTCTTAGAGGTACTTTCGTGAAGAAGTCTTTTGTTTATTTTGCCTAGAAAGCCTTCAATTTTCTACTGTTAGGTCTTCACATTCATAGGTGAGATTTAGAAAGGGTGTGCGGAAGTTACTCTTGACTGAAGCCTATTATAGTGTTGAAGAATTCTTTGGAGATACCTTGTGAACATATTCGTATTTTTCGCTTGTAGATAAAACGTTGTAGGTATATCACACGTGCGTTTTAACATGACTTTTCAAAACTCTTGTGATTAGAATGACTGGGTCTACGACCTCGTCGTTCTAATCTTTCACGCTCGCTAATGTAATCATGTTATGCTCTGCAATGTGAATAACTATCAAATATAAGCTAGTAGGTACTTACTTTTGTGATAATATTGTTACCTCTGGTATCTTGCAGGTAATTGAGACTACCGTTCCAAAATCAATTTACCTCGAAATCACGACGAATCTATAGCATTATATTAAAACACTTCGTTCACCTATCTACAATCAAGCCTAACTAGTCATATAGAACTGAATAGAAACTCACTGTCTCACTATCGACTTCTCAATCAATTTATTACAAACTGTTTCTTGATATAGGTAGGTAACTTTCAATTTTTCAATGAATTTTTCCCTAAGCGGCCGGCTTCGTTTTATAGTGCATCATTGCTTCCAGAATTGTCAAGATCAAGGGATAGTTTCAAAGTTTACGACCCCAAAAGTTCAGTTCCGCAAGAATAATCTAATAGTTGCCCTAAGCTCAACAAAAATTTCCATCAACATTTTCTTGATGTTGTAAATTATTAGTACTTACACGCTTTCAGATCTTCTTGTGGGAGTCTATTTGACCTTCCTTATTATTTCAAGAAAATTCTCTCTGGTTGTAGTTTTATTTTGATAAGACAATATGGAATTAAGCTGGAATGTCTTCTGGAAAAGGTTTGCTGACGTGACGTTTTAGCACTAAATCCGCTACAGACGGGTTTTAGAATGAGATTTTCACCAATAAAGTATCAGTCACATACTGCCCACATAACAATGAAAGAACATTCATATTCTCAGAATATTCCCTCAAAGTGCTTTTTGGCATGTTCTTTTAGGAATGTTTAATGAATATTCTAAGATTGTTTCGATTGAAATATTCATTTTTGAACGTTCTATTTATGTACTAGGAATGTTGCTTCTATGCACCTACCTGAAAGATTGCGCTAAGAACCTACTTTATATAACAAACTTTGAATATTGTCATAAGAACATTATTATAATGTACCCTAAAAAATGTTCTTTCAGCTAATATCTCTATCATGTATTAAGAATATACCTACCAAGTTGTGCTGAGAAGTTTATGTAGGTAGGTTACCATGATAAGAATATTTTCATATTATTCACCTAATTATCTGAAGTACCTACTCAAAAATCATAATTTAACAATTAAACAATAATGCTCTATCTAGAACCTACTAAGAATATTATAGGTATATTCTTTTCCTTTTGCTTTGTAGGACTTCCAAGAGAGGGAGCCACGATCTATTAAAGATCTACATCTTACCTCGCGTTTGAATCACCTTGGAACCTGTTTCTCTCAGTTAGCGTGCTTCGACGAGAGCATAACAAGCTCGAAACCGGAGCTTTGGTTAAATACTTGTGTTTTCCAGAGAAGTTTTCCAACAACTCTTTCACTGCCTTTAATATAAAAGGGCTGAAAGGAGCATTATTTGGAAACGAAAATTAACATTCCAAGTATATCCTTAGAATCAACCAAGAATGTTATGTCTAGAATGCATATTGAGAATGATATATGTAGATATATTCTAAGAATATTTCAAGCATGTTGGTATAATATTCTTTTGAGAACATAACTATAATGTCATAGAAACATTCTTTGAATGTGAGAATACCTATACATATCAAGCATATTTTTAGAATCAAACAAGAATATTCTTTTCAGGATGTACTGAGAATCTCATAGGTATATTCTAGGAATATCCTAATGGATTTCTCAGGAAGTTCTTGGGTATTGCAAACAGTATTTCTACAATCTTTTCTCAGAACATTCTCAGGACATTTGCAATGGTTTTGGCGAATATTCTAGGCACATTCCTCCTGAAAAAAGAACATTCTTAATACATTCTAAGGATGCAATTTTGTTATGTGGGTGATGATACTACCTAGCAAATACTTAGTAACAAAACATATTTTCAATGAAAAAGACCAAAAAATGTTGATTGAGAACCACTATCTCAGAAACTATTGATCTGAAGGAGATAGGGTTCAAATTAAAAACAATTTTTTGAGCTACGATCTGCTGCAAGCTGTTTTTCACTCTTTGTTCTATTGTTTTTGGGGGATGAATAAATAGCAATCCCAACTTCTTCAAATCAACTTTCTTCTATTAGTCAATTTAATAGATATCAATGTAGACAACATCACCATTATTTTACTGAAGGACAGCAATATTTTTTACAGCACAGCACAAACCAGAGCTCTATTTAAGAAAACATGAGCTGAGAAACATTTGTTCAGAAAAAAAAAATCAAAGGATTATTTTATTGTAAGATTTTCTGTCATTTACATAAGTAGGTTATCTTACCAACAAGATATTCAATATTCAATATCCAATATACCTACCAACCCATTTTTCAAGTAGGTATGTAATTTAATATTAAGTACAAATTGCATAGTTACAGAGGTGTGTCATGCTGAAACTCAATCCCCCACATTAAAACTAATAATTTATCTAATTTTCCAACAGAAATATTCTTGATCTACATAAAAAGCTCAGTCATGCATATGCATGTGGGCACCAGAAACCTGACCAAAATTACAAAACCACATGTAATATCATTAATTATTAATTACTGGCACCGCTATTGCAGCCATTTGAATATTTAACATTTTCTAAAATGAGTCATAAGTAACTATTATTAATTTTAAAATCAATATAATAATATGTATATTATTTTCAGATCAATCATCATGACTATCGATTTCTACTATCTCCCTGGCTCTGCCCCATGCAGATCGGTTCTTCTCACAGCAAAAGCTTTGGGATTGGAGTTGAACCTGAAGAGGACCAACTTGATGGCTGGGGAACATATGACTCCTGAGTTTTTGGCAGTATGATTTTTTTTTTAATTAGACTAAAATTTGGTGTGGCCATGAGGCAAATGACCAAGCAAAACCTCAATAGATTTTATTCTTAAATAGTTCCAGATTTCCTTTTCAATGCTTTCAACCTTGACATTATTTCAAATTAAATTAATTACGTATTTTTGATTCAACTGATAGTTTTCGGTTGACTGACTTGTTCTATAGCCCGTAAACTATTTTATTTTTATTTCAGGATCGAGGTCAAACAAATCTAAAATTAGCTTAATCTATTAAAACAAACACTACTGATTATTGTTTGTATTTATTTTTGGTTGTTTAGCACTATATATAATGAACAGTGAATGACTGAATACAAACAATTTCATTTTTCCTCATATTCGTGCTGTTAACTAATTGCATTAAAGGTTTTATTGTTTCACAGGAAAAAAACCATGACAGAATATTATATTATGTTTGATACTTAATGTATACTTATATGGGTTGGGTTTCCTTGATAAAAATAACTTAAGTGATTATTTTACTAGCCCTTTCCCTAGTTGATTGTTTTTGAATTCGAGATTTGGTCTTGGGCCGATTACAACTTTGAGCGAATGAAAAATTGATTGAACTCACCTACAAAATTGACTTGCTCGCTGTATCATGGTCAAGGAATATCTCATATTTAAGTTTCAATTGGCTTGATTCAAATTTCAACAATCTGTCTATATTTTCAATGTTTTTAAATCAAAGTGGTCTTAAAATAATCTCTTCATAGGTTGAAAATTCAAATACTGCTTTGAGACTTTTTGGAATTCGCATATTAAATATAAAATTCCTTTTCAGATCAATCCCCAGCACACCATCCCAACCATCGACGATAATGGATTCCGTTTATGGGAAAGTCGTGCCATAATAACCTACTTGGTAAACGCCCATGGCAAAGATGACTCACTGTACCCAAAAGATCCCAAGAAAAGGGCAATTGTCGATCAAAGACTCTATTTCGACATTGGAACTCTATACCAAAGATTTGCTGATTATTATGTAAGAATTATATAATACCTATACATTGATTATTTGATAGAAATTATTATTATTTCTTCTAGTATCCATTATATTTCGCTGGAGTACCACTTGATCCAGCCAAATTGGAAAAAATCAACGAAGCTTTGAAATTCCTGGATACTTTCCTTGAAGGACAAACCTATGCTGCTGGTGACAGTTTAACTGTAGCCGATTTAGCTTTGGTTGCAAGCATATCTACTTTTGATGTGGTCGGTTACGATTTGGCTCCTTACAAGAACGTTACAAGGTAAGCTTTGACACATATTCCATACAATAAATAAACCTATTACCTACTCATTATTTCCAGATGGTTCAACAAAATCAAAACCACAGCACCAGGGTACAAAGAAGCCAACGAAGATGGTTGCATCGAATTCAAACAATTGGTTGACTCTTTAACTAAAAAATAAGTTTTTTAAAATATCCTTTGCTTGAATAAAATATAAAGTATACGCACTATATGAATTTATGTTAGGATATTAATTTTTGTAATTTTATAATTCTGCACATTTAGTGTGATTGTTTGTTGTTCAGTTTATTTCGATATGTTTAGTCAAATATAATAATTGGTTTTAAAGTACAGCTAAATAACGTATTTTTTAATGTAAATTCCTAGAGACAAACGTGAGAAATCTGGTGGGTACTTTTCTTAAATTAACTATAATTGTTTTTGCAATTTTTCTCTACGAAACATCATTGAATTTAATATCAGAATGTACCTTTAAAATATGGTCTACACACTCTAGAGTCTAGAACAATGTTTTAAAGCAGAAATTAACTGAGGCCAGAAAAAGGTATACACATAGCTGGCGAATCGTCCAAAAGAATATTTAAATATATAAGCAGGAACCTGAACTCGAAAGTAACGATAATTACTCAGCAGAACCTTACTCTCCCTGTTTTACCGATCCGAGGGTTGAAGTGTCTTTTGAATCTATAACTTTCAATAGAGAAAAAGTTAAAGAAGCCCTAGAAAGTATTAAAGAAGAGTCCAGTCCAGACCCAGATGAAATACCTACAGTAGGTAGGTAGTTGTTTTATGGAAGTAGGTGAAGAATTTTAGAAATTTCACATCAACATTTATTTTGTGTTCTCTAGAACCTTGAGAATCGTCTTTCTTTAACATTTGGAAAGTGTGGTATGCCAGTTAGAGATTCGCCGATTAGCAGGTGTGCTGGAGTCAGAGGATTCAAGTCACTGGGGTCGTGGGAAAGAGGATAGACCAGACAAGCCTCTAGGACGGTACAAAACTCTTCATATATCAGAAAAGCGTCGCCTCTTACACGTTTCATATGAAATTTAACAGACTTGACGCCTGATTTCCAAATACCACCAAAGTGAGGGGCGCGTGGCGGAATAAAACTCCACTGAATACCATCATTCGATACAGCATTTGTTATGGCGTCATCGCTGTCATCTAAGAATCTTCGCAGCTCATTATTTGCACCTACAAAGGTAGTGCCATTGTTGGAGAAAATTTGTGAACATTTTCCACGTCTAGACATGAAAACAAAGGCTGCTAAGAAGCATTCAGTTGTAAGGTGACTCATCACTTCTTAGGGCGGGTATTATAGAACTGCTTTGACAGTTAACTTAAAGTTAACTTTTTGAATTACATGTAATTCATGAAGTTAATTTAAAGTTAACTCTCAAAGTAGTTTTATAATACCCACCCTTACTGGCCAAACAAATAAAAAATGAAATGTAAGCTTTAGTGTTTTTAAAATTACGTTCTTTTATGTTACGGAGTAAGAATGAACCGGCGTTCCCCATTAGGTATTTTTCTGGTTTATTTCGGAATCTGAAGCAATGCACATAATCGTGAACAATCCTTTTCACCAACTTACTACCGGAGATTGGCCAGTAACGTTCTCCCAAAGAGGCAAGAAGAGCTTGTGGATGGGGCATGTAGAAGTATAGGTGTTCATTTTTAATAGTTAAAGAAGTGAGATTATGTTGGGAAGGAAGTATAATCGTATGTTTTTTAGTTTAATCGAAGTTCGAATTATGCAATCTGCGACCGACTCGATTCAATTTTTCATTGTCTATGAATAGGTTTAGGGGCAAAAGTTTACTATTTGGATGTATCCTTTTCGAATTCAATGACGTATTGTATTCACATGGAAACGATTGTCGCTGTACAATCTGTAATATTCCGAGAAAATAGTCCCATAAATCACAATGTCTTTACTGTAAAAATTTAATAAATGTCAAATAATCAGAATTTCCGGTATCTCCAAATCAGTAGGTATCAATAAATTGAAAAGGGAACAAATTAACGTTCAATATTATATTAGGTGTTTCGTCATCAAGCCTGTGTCATCTCCTAAATCAATGAACTCAAAAGAGCGAGGCCAAGTAATTATAAATGATTTATGGCATTCTTGAACCCAAAAAAAAAAGATACATTGACCTCGATAAATTAGGATATTGCGACATAATTATTCGATTCTTTTAAACTAAGAATGATAAAAATTTCAAGGAAATTGCATCATTATTTTTAATAATATTTAGGTCGGCCAATGGAATTCGGATTGCTAGGCAAACGACCGCCTATTGACGATTTGGGGGATAATTATTAATACTTTGCGGGGGGATCGATTTAATATAAATACCGCGGTTTTAGAAGTGGAAGGAAGTTGTTAGTTGTCAGTTGAGAGATGAGTTCGCAGTCCTGTCCAGTTTGAGATGAAGTCTACAGTACCGAATGAGTCTGTCCGGTTGAAATCCGCGGAAAGTCTTTTATGGCCTCGGGGAAGGTCTTAGAAAAAGTACGGAAAAATTTGTGCAAAAAATAACATTTGAAATTCGTTCAATTTATGTGCGTGCTAGCTAACAACTATTGCAGATTTCTGGAAGCTCAGTGAGCTCAGTTGTTTCTGTTTCTGAAGTATAGGGAAGCCATTCATATTCTTGAAACCTTAGCCATGTAGGACGTGAAACAAAAAATCAGAATTTATTAATGTTGATGGGTTTACACCACGAGAAAGCATATCAGCTGGGTTTTCTAATGTGTTTATGTATTTCCATGAACCATATTTGGATAGCGTTTCAATCTGGGATACCCTATTAGCTACAAATGTTTTCAGTAGATGTGGAGATGTGTTGATCCAGGAGATAGTAACTGTAGAATCACACCAATAGGTTACTAGATCAAAATTAACAGGAAATGAAGGAATCACCTTATCAGCCAATTCTGCTAGTAAGAGAGCTAAACAAAGTTCAAGCCTTTGGATTGTAATCTGCTTTATCGATGCAACACGTGTTTTGGCACAGCAAGGGTTTGAAGTATAATTACCAGAGTCTAAACAACGTATATAGATGCATGCTCCGTAAGCGGATTGCGACGCATCACAGAATACTGGATGAAATATTTGTCTAGGAATTTGGAGATCATTGATTATTGGAAAGTTCTGAGCGATATTTGCTCCAAAGAGTGTGCAAGTTCATGGAAATAGACTCATCCCACGAAATTTGTAATTTCCAGAGTTCTTGTAAAATAAGTTTGTTATCGGGGCAAGAACTCCCAAAGGGTCGAATATCTGGGAGGCACAAGATAGAATATGGTGTTTTGTGATTTTACTATTGTAACTCGGAACATTTATAGAATATTGTATTTAGTCATTGAGGGGGGTTTCAGAGTAGTCCAATAGAGTTTTGTTTTTACTTTACCAATTTTAAGTGTGTAGGTAAGATTTAGAATCATGTATTGACTCCTAATTGTATTTCCATTTCCTTAAGGGAAAACCCATATTTGATAAGAATCTGTGAGCTGTCGTTTTTAATTTGAATTAGTTCTTCCAGAGTATCGCAACCACTGAGGAGGTCGTCCACATAAAAATCAATTAAGATTGTCGAGGCAAGTAGTTTGGGATATTTATTCATTTGCGATAAGCTATAATAGGTACCTACTTCGTGGAGAGCTCTGATTGCTAAAAATGAAGCTAAAGCAGTGCCATGTATAATGGTATTTAAGGTTTAGATAGAAATGTCCTCATAAGTAGAGAATCTCCAAAGAATTTTCTGAAAATGACGTTGATCCTGTTTGACAAAAATTTGTCTGTACATTTTTGATATGTCAGTGCTTAAAACAAAATTATGTTTGCGAAAACGTTATAGAATATTGAACAACTTATCCTGAATTGTCGGCCCAACCATCATTATGTCATTTGGGGAATATCCAGATACAATAAGCAGACCCATCAAAAAACTACTCTTGATTTTGTTGTTGTCGACGAACCTTTTAAAACACAGATGGGATAAGAATAAACTTGATTTGTCGTTCTGATTTTCTCTCAAGAGAAAATAAACGATTACGAGCAGTATTCTCAGATTCTCCCAAAACATTTATAGATGCTTTCAAAGAAATTGCAACGATAAAATTGCCTCCTCTACTTTGTGAAACATGCTGTTTGAAGTGAGATTCACAATTTGTTTCTTCTTCAGACAGAAATTTGGTTTTCGGAAACTCTTCAATCTCCCAGAATTTGGAAAGTTAATTCTGAATATCAACATTGGCAGAGAAGTGACATAATATACTGCTCTCTGTTCTATTTTGAGGACTGACGTGTAGTGGACCAGAGATGATCCAGCCAAGTTTGGTCTTATGTAGGGTTGGCATATTTTTTCCAAGTTTGATCTGACCAATGCTTAGAAGGTCCCAAAATATATCAGCACCTATGAGAAGATCAACTGGAGCAGGAATTTCAAATCTTGGGACGGCCAGTGTGATGCCGGTAAGAATGTTCAATAAAGAAGTGTCAAGATTTGTGTAAGGTAAATTTCCAGCAATCTGAGGTAAAACTAAGCAAGAAAGTCTCTGTGAAATGAAATTTGACTGACTTCCATTGTCGAGTTGGACTCTGCAGTCATGTTGTTCACCACTCTTATCGAAGACCTTTACAATGGCTATGGACAATAAAATATGTGGTTTAATAGGTGAATCAGTTGGGAAATTGATATGACATGATAGTGAGCTGTATTGTGAGTCTTGTATTTCCCGAGCCTGGATGAGGTTGACAGTGGAAGAAGTTGAAGGTTGTGTATTTTTGTTGTTTGGTAAATCATTTCCGAAGTGTAATAATGTGTGGTGAATTTTAAAACATTTTCTACAACCCTTTGATCCGCATTCCTGAGTGAGATGATTATTACTAAGACAATAATTGATGCACAAGCGTAATTCTTTGGCCTTGCTTAGCCTAAGAAAGGGACTGAGTTTAGTAAAATCAGGCGAATATAGATTGTATATTGCTTATTGCAGAGTAAGTTTGTGGTATTGTCAGGAAAGTCTTAGGACATGAGGTTTGATAGGCTTCGTTTTTTCATGATTGGTCTCTTTAGGAAGGGAGGGAATATTAAAAAGTACTTTAATGTGGTTATGAACCAACAGTTATTTGTTTTCATATCTTTCAATAAGAAGTTGCCAGGCCATGCAGGGGCGCAACTAGCTTGTTGGTTTTGGGGGGGGGCTTGAGCCCCGGGTCTCTATAAGTCGATTTGGTGACAGTATATGATGTTTCTCAAAACTTACTACAGTAAAGCTGGGTTCTAACAGAAATTTAATTTAATTTTATAATAACATAATTTAAGAT